GCGCTTTCAAAACATATTGAAACTTTTACCTATCTACAAATACATACACCCAGAATACAGTGTTTTTTCTTTTTCATAATAAATTTTTTTGTTAGTTTTTTATAAAAATACTAGCAAGCCAGGACAGACGTTGTCCTGCTACACACCGATACATAGGCAGGTTACATGCATCGTAGATACTATGGGTCTTCGCACCGAAGCTTGGTACTCGGTAACTCGGTGTTCGGTAATTTTTTCCCATGTATTTTGTTTATGTAACACAAACAAAATACATTGAAAAAAATTACCGGACACCGAGTTACCGAATATCGAGCTCGGTGTGAAAGGCCCATATTGTTTCTTACGTTTCATTTGATATCGAAATTTACAAAATATTATTATTATTGTTCACTACGTTTGAAAAAAACGATCTCTGGTTAAGGTTCAAACATCAGCCGGGGGAATGGATAGCGTTGGATGGTGTCCAAACGGCAAATTTTTTGTTGCTGTTGATGTGCGCATGTTTATGTATATGTATAATACATACTACATTATTTTGTTGCTATCCTATCTATTTCTACCCAACATAAACATATATATTAACATATCGACACGGGATTTTTAAGAATTTTTAAGAATCTTTTAAGTTGGAACCAAGAATACACACCCAAAAAATTTCATTGCAATCGGTTAAGCGGTTTCGGATATTAGCGTAAACGAACACAGTGACACGAGATTTTTATATATTGGCTGCGTTTCTTTATACATTCCGGATAATCCCATTTCACAGCCGGAATAAACAGAATGCGTTTGAAATATACGTTAACATATCATCAGGAACGTTCTAAAGAATAAGTAAACGAACAAGTTTATTCCAAACGTTTAGAATGAATAAAGAAATGCAGCCATTAAGAAGATAAGATAAACACGATGCGAGAAGCATAGAAAAAATTTCGATAACTATCCCATCTTTTAAGTTGGAACCAAGAATACACACCGACAAAATTTCATTGAACTCGGTTAAGCGGTTGCGGAGATTAGCGTAAACGAACACAGTGACACGAAATTTTTATATATTAAGATAAGAGTAAGGCTTCCTCTAGTGGGCACCGAATTTACTAACATTAATATTTTTCAATGATATTCAGGCATCGCCGAGTTTTGTAGTCGAACAGTACATGTGTAATTTTTATTGCAAAATTCCAAATAGTTTTTTTTTAATCAACAATTGAATATGTTTGCAGTGCTTTGGAAATTTTTATTTTTCTTATAAAGAAAGTGTCCGAATGAGAATATTTTTTGGGTGCAGATTTAAGAAACATTAAACTATACAATGAAATTATTTCCGTCCCGACTCCCGCGGGCATGCGAAATTCGAGCATGAGAAATAAAAGTGGAACGATTGAAATGTGCATTTCTTTCTTGCGCAAGAAGTCAACATGGATTGCGCGCGATCCAGCCACGCGCGTCCAGAAAATTCTAAGGACAATACATTTTTGAGCAACCGCCGTTAGTGTCGTTTGGCGTGAATTTCATATTATTTACTAAAATATCCAAACGCAAACCACTTTTTCATAATTCTGCGATTTTTTTACGATTTTGTCTTGCCTCTTTTTCTCAAATTAACCAAGATGTGACCGAATTGTCCAATTTACTGTCCAATTCACTGTCTTCGAAAAATCAAAGGCAGTGACCATGATTCAATAATACAAGGTTCGATAAACTGACAGATGTCTCTCTCGCACCACTCCCTTAGCAGTGGCACCGTGTTGCTTCTTTGCAAATTTACTTGGAAAAAGTGTAGTTTTGGTGTGAAATAGAAGTATAAGCTTTTGTGCAATATGTTTATTTGTAGATGCATAAGAAGCATATTTAACTGATGAAAACATTAATTGTGTTTTAAATTGGATAATTACATCAATCTTATAGTAGCTTTATTTTAATTTTGAGTCTTTTTGCAGTTTTTATACAGCTAAATAGCACATAAATTACGTAATTCTTGTAGATATATCAATATTACGTTCAATATTTCGTTTAAAATGCCAGATTTCCTGAAAATACATTAGAATTTACAAAAGGAATTTCACTACTAATAGCCTACTTTGCGTATTTTTCTACTACCATTTTCGCACCAAGAGATTTCATTCTTCCCCTTTCTCCGTCCTTCGTAAATGCAACCTTTTGTAAGGGAGTGTCAAACCGAGGCTGTCAACAATTATCTAACCTCGTATTATTGAATCATGGGCTGTGACGAAGCCAATGAGAGAAGTTTGAATGTATTAAACTGGCTACACACGACGAACATCTGCGCGCACATGTGCGCCAACATGGTCGCTGTCATTTGCTACAGACGGTGAGCGGCTCATAAGTGATTTTGTACTCAAAGCGTAAACATGGAAAGGAAATACGCGGATGATGCAATTGAAATACCTATGACTTAGGTTTTTTTATGTATGTGTTACTTAAATTTATTTATATTTTACTTGTATGTATGAACATACATATACATATAATAATTTAGTCTCATTTATCAAAAATTAATGAACGTACATGGCTTGGATGCATTTATCCGCGATGTGCACATTACAACCATCAACAAATTTTTTGATTTTTTGCGAGCATGCTCGTGAACCTCCTTACAAACGACAAACATGCACTGCAAGCCGCGCACGTGCGCGGATATGTTCGTCGTGTGTAGCCACTGTTAGTGAAAAAGTATGAATGCATTGGGCTCTGTCACACGGTCAGTAATTATCACGATATTTTCATCGCGATCAATATTGATGAATTGATGAATCGCGCACGAATGCTACATGTTCAATATTTATCGCGTCAGTATTTGCATAATTTTTGTGCTGAACGCTTATTATGACGCAAGAAGATATTTTTATTTGGTATGAATAATTTACAGATAATGCATTCTACAATTATTTTAAAATTGTAAATGTTAATTAAAATTTTTTCAATTTGTTTTGAAAGCTTTTAAGCACCGACAGCGAAGGCATATCGGATACGTTTTCGATGTTCGCATTATGAGAGTACGAGATGTACTGACGAAATGTATGGATCGCGATTTGAAAGTGCTACACGTTCAATACATGCTACACGTTCGCGATCCGCTAACCAGTTTTCAAATTTTTTTAAATTTTGCGATATGGATCACGATCCATCAATACTGCATGCTACACCGTCAGTAAATATCGCGATACTTGGATCACGTCAATAAATACTGACCGTGTGACAGTGCCCATGGGCATGGTAAAATTGTCTTATGTAAATGCCATGAACCAAAAATACAAGATCACGTAAGAACGCGACGTTGTATTTGTAACTGGTCTTGAGAAAAAAGTTTGCGAAAGCGGGTTCGTCAGCTGAGCGTTTGTTTACATCACAAGCACCACTATTTTACACTTTTATTTAAGTAAAGAAGAGTTATTTCAACATGACAACACATTTTCAAACATTTTATTGCATCATTTTACCTAAATTGTGCGTTTAAAGTGGCTGACAATAATTTCGGCTAATTTTGGTTTTCGTTGTTTTCTTTGCTTTGTTTATTTTTCGGTCGTTTTCCAGTGAAACAAGATGGCGTAGAACCCGCTAAAAAAAATCGACTTTTTTCACTCTCTTGTTCTTACGTGATCTTGTGTCTTTCGTTCATGTGTAAATGCCGTGTTAGTGCAGTCGTCTTACTTAGGGTTTACACCGGACAATATTGTCATGACAATAGCAATACCTGCACACTTTTTCACTTATCTATTTATACACAAATATTATTATCAAATAACAATTTGCAAAATGGTAAAAATTGCCGTATAAACGCTGACTTAATTTTTTATTTGCAAATAACTAAATCACGCAAATAAGTATTGATTAGTGGTACTATTTGCAAATAAGCGCAAGATGCCGCCATTCTTAGGTTTATTTTCTTTTTCGATGGTCATCTTTTTGCCTTTTTATAATCAAGACGTTGCCATATTTAACATTATTTTCTTTTTCGATGGTCATATTATTGCCTTTTTATAATCAGGCAATGTTAAAAAAGAATTTTTCACCATCGAATAAACAGTGAGTTAGGTATTTGCAATTATTTTTTTTTAGCTTACGTATAAACGTAGTATATGAATGCGTTTTTGACAACCAATACGTATATCTTCATTGCTTTCACAGCATTGTCCAATGTAAATGCGCCGTTATATGAATGAGCCATGAACCAAAAATACAAGATCACGTAAGAACGCGACGTTGTATTTGTAACTGGTTTTGAGAAAAAAGGTTGCGAAAGCGGGTTCGTCAGCTTTGTCAGGGTTTGTTTACATCACAAGCGCCACTATTTTGCACTTTGGTTAAGTAAAGAAGAGTTAATTCATCATGACAACACATTTTAAAGCATTTTAATGCATCATTTTAACTAAATTGTGAGTTTAAAGTGGCTGGCAATAATTTTGGCTAATTTTGGGATTCGTTGTTTTCTTTGCTTTATTTACTTTTCGCTCGTTTTCCAGTGAAACGAGATGGCGTACAACCCGCTCAGAAAATCGACTTTCTTCACTCTCTTAGACTATGTTCAAACAGGCACCTTATTGGCAATTAAGAACCTTTTCACCAATTTAGGCCTTAATTGTTGCACAATTTATCATACGAAAATTCAAATTATTAATTGCCAATTAATAATTTATTGGCAATCAATTTGTGTCAGATTCTCTATGCAACCCTGCTAGGTATGTTTAATTTTGACTTGGAGGTATGTTTATTGAACAAAGAGCAATCAGCTGTATATTCCATCAGCGCGAGACAAAAGTATGTTGTAGAAAAGGTTCCTAGTTGTTCGATCGAGCGAGATCAACTACAGTTGCGTTACTTTGACCACCATTCTGTAAGCTATTTGACCAGTTGCCCACACCAGAAAATGCATGGAAATGCCAGTAAAAATAAGAACTGATTCCCTGAGACGCTATTTGGCTACGTTCCAAATGTTCCTAAAATTGTGTGTTTGTACCGAATGTACTTTCAAACTAAATAAAGGTACGATTGTAAGAACTTTTCCATCACTGTATGTAACCCAACAGCTGATTTCGTATCGCTAATTGGGCAGCTGACGTGTGTGAGAACACCAAACTCAATACCGCAATTTAAAGCTTAATTGCCTCAGCTAATTGGCCTGTTTGAACATAGTCTTAATCTTACGTGATCTTGTGTCTTTCGTTCGTGTGAATGCGCCTTGACCAGCTGGAATCAACCCTACTAGACAAACCTGACGGAAACTAATACACACACACCAGTGAACCAACACAAATGCAAGTATGGACATATATTAGTTCAATCCTGTGTACTAGCGAGAATGAAACCCCTCAAAATTTGAAAGAAAGAGCTAGCAACAATGTACTACGACTGTTTTCAGCTAATTTGACAGAGTTGCATTTCATGCTGATTGAAAGTAGTTGCTACCTTCAAAATACCAAATATATCCGAGTACTATGTAAAGTGAACTATTTAAGATATTTATTTTAGTATTTTATCTTGGAACTAATTTTGCTTTGTATCGAAAATTTAAATAAAAAACGAATTGAATTGAATTTTTGTCCTAAGTAGAAATTAGCACCACAAAAAATTAACAATACCAAATAAATAATGCTTGGAAACCAAACTCATTCAAACCGAATACTTTTCAGAGCCAAATTTCTCATCACCTTAAGAAACATGAACAGCGTTGCCAGGACCAACCGGCTAAATTGGCATAAAAAAACCGGCTAAACTGTTTGAACTAAATTTCAAATGTTTATTTAAATAAATCACAAGTAGAAGGATTATTTCTTGGAGAGCAGTTGCAAATTCAAGCTGGAAAAAATTTTGCCAGCAAGAATTTGCAATTAGGAAAAACACATGATTGTGGTACATGGTTGGATTTTTTGTCGACGATAATATGAATAAACAAACAAGTTCGTTAAATTTAAAAAATTACAAACTTGAGCGATTTTAAAAAGAAAATATGTAAGTAAATACTTGTTTACTTAATTAATTTAGTTAATTCCAATAATTCGAAAGGTACTCGGCTGAAAAAAACTGTATTCGTAATCGGAATGCAATCTCATGTCTCGATATAGTAACCTCGACAAAGAAATTGAAACCTATGTTGAAGAAAGTCTGACTAACAAGACATATACATGTAGATGCCGTTTTTTGCCCCTGTGAAAGAATTTTAAAAATTTTATACAAATTTCTTATGTTTAAAATGTAACTGTGGACACTAGCTTGCAGAAAAACTTGCAAATTCCTCCAAATTTGCGTTCGTGCAGAAATTTGAAAGTTTCTCTACTTGAGAGAGAATTTGGGAGCATTTTTTCTTACTATCTGATATTTTGAGTGATAATTCTCGCTGGACTTTCGACGAACAAACCTATTGTCTTCCCTTCAAGAAAAGGACTTTTCAGACTGACCGATTTTCAATACACTCAAATAAAAACCAATACACACAAAAAAAAAGCTGTAACAATTTCACTTCCATTTTAAGGCAGTAAAACAAAGACCTTAATTTAACATAAATCGAGGCCATATGTTGATAAGGGATGCAAAATAACATTTACATAAAAGAACTGGTCAGATTTTTCAGAAATCCCTTCAATTCTGATGCAAAATATTATGCCAAGGCTGCAGATCTCCCATCCAGATGATAAGTCATATGACCGGCAGATATCTTGTCGGGTTCTCAGAGAAATTTGTGCTCTTTTGTTTTAATTTTTACGCATTTCAGTGTTGGTTCTTAACTTAAGTTGGGCTTCGGTTTTTGTAATTTAAATAAGTTCCTAGCAAAAAAGTTTGTTTAAAAAAATACGTATGAGTACATAGTGCTTGAATATATCCATTTTCCCTTACCTTAAACCTATGGGAGTGGGCAAAAATGATATGTTGTAATTAAGGCAGAATTGAATATGCGCTATCTGGGAAGGCAATATCTTCCTGTAATATTTTTCTGTGTGTTGGCACTATATCCAAACACAAACGCGTGTTAAGCAAACAGTGAAACAATTTATTATTTTCTAAGTTGGCGAATAAAACTTCCCACTTAAATTTAAGACATTCATAACAAAGATTTTATGAAGAAAATTCCCGCTACGGCATACTTTAGACAAAATATATTCGTTTAAAATAAAATTAATAATAATAATGATAATAAAAATAAATAATAATAATAAGTTGGGCCCACCCAACTTTAGATAGCCCTGTCTGACATGAAAATTTTCTCCGCGGTAAGGCTAGTAGCCATTTCTAGCAGATTTTGGGTCGCTTAGTCAAAAATGGAAACAAAAGTTGCGATCCCGTACGAGTCCGGACTAGTCAGAAATAGTCAGAATCAGTCAGAGTTTACTGGAAATCGATCCCGTACTCGTTTCTCTGACTATTGAGAAGACAAAAAAGAGAGTAAAAAAGGCCCTCTCTTTGTGTCAAACGATAAGCTGTAGTGTGTTTGGCAACCAGATTGTAAACAAAAGAAAAGTGCACTCTGCTAATTCATGTTGAAAAGTATCTAATTACTTGTTTAAGTGGATTCTAAGGAATTTGAAAGTATTTTTGGTTATTTACATGGGTGAGCTGGGTGTGTTTACATACAAAATAAGCAAAAATTTACAACCAAAATTTGGAGGTTATGTTGAAGTTGACAGAAGTTACCATTTTTTACTAGAAAGCGATCTCGTACTTTTCAATGTTATATTTTTAATAATCTATAATTTTATAAAAAAGTCGTATTTTATATTTCTATTTTATATGTTCGTTTACGTCGCATTTTTTAGTCATAAACCTGACCTGCAACGGAAGTGGTAAGCTATAGTCTGCGCCTGTTGTTGAAAGGAAAGGAAATACAGGCCAACAGCCAGCAGCAGAAATTATGCAAATTGCATATTTTCTATTAATCTGTTGCTATTATAATAGTAATATGTAATAATAATAGTAATTAGTAAAAATAGTATTATGTAATAATAATAATAGAAATAGTAATATGTAATAATATTAATAGTAATATGTAATATTAATTATAGTAATAGTAATTAATAATAATAATAACAAAAATATTAATAATGATAGTTTTAATTGAAATTTTGGTGAAAACTAAACCTTAAAACCAAAAATCTTTAAGGCAGCAAACGTACGGTTACATCGTTGCTGAATTATTAAACTGAAAAAACAAGCATAGAAAAATACTAAATGCATCGGTAACATTCTTAATTAATAAACCCGGTATGCATACCTTATAATGAAGATATATATATTTCTCTAATTCTCGCACCCTCTCTCAAATTAGCATTTTCTGCAACTTCGTTAGTAGCAACATCCTCCTCAAATTCGTCTAGAACTTCGAAACCCAAGTCTGCAGCAACGCCGTGTTTCAAAAGAATGTTGTGGAGGATTGCACAAGCGTATATAATATTCCCGGCTCTCTCATGGGAATAATGCAAATACGGTGCTTTGCTAAGCACCGAAATCTTGATTTCAGAACACCGGAAGCTCTTTCTACGCAATTTCGAGCCTTCGCGTGTAGGGTGTTGAATTTCACTTCTTTTGCATTCAATGGCTCTGCCACTGGAGTTAGAAGCCATGGTTCCAGTGGGTAACCCTGATCCCCTAACAACCAATTATCGCACTGGCTTCTATGTGTTCTTAGAAGATGAAGGCGTGTTGGGGATGTAGTCCAAATACCGGAGTCGTGGCAGTATCCAGGAAATCTTGCATTTATAGCCGTGAACAGCAAACGATGATCACATACCTATTGAGAAAGAAAATTGTATAACAATGTATTCGATTTCTTACAGAATTGTCATTGCTTTGAAATTTAATTTTATTTATCATTTACCGTATGTAAAAAAAGATGTAGTAATAATTACAGCCTCTACGTTAATGCTGTAGAAACCTTTCCGGATCATATACATGCATAGAGGGTTACTTGGGTCTGTTGTCGATGGAGCGACTATGCCTATGTGCGTGCAGTCAACAGCACCTATCGTTCCCTTAGGGCCGGTTGTTCAATGTCTGATTAGCACAAATCGGAGGTAGAAGCTCCGGTTAGATACAACGACTGCTTTGTCGATCACATGTTATATGCATGCTGTCGAAATCGTCGATAATGATGTTTAACCGGCAAGTAGTGATAACCAGACATTGAACAACCGGCCCTTAATCTTAAATGCCGTTTAAAAGCTGAAAGTAATGGTATAACATACATTTAATTAACCTTCGTCGCACTTTTTATATCAACACAAACATATGTTTTTGCCTTGTCACCTGCGCAAAAGGTCATGACAATAAAAATGGNTAACCGGCAAGTAGTGATAACCAGACATTGAACAACCGGCCCTTAATCTTAAATGCCGTTTAAAAGCTGAAAGTAATGGTATAACATACATTTAATTAACCTTCGTCGCACTTTTTATATCAACACAAACATATGTTTTTGCCTTGTCACCTGCGCAAAAGGTCATGACAATAAAAATGGCAATTGGCATGATTCGAGCTTTTGAATTTTGCTGCGAATACCAAAAAGCTGCAATAGTCATTTTTATATCAATTGTCATCGCGGTGAGTCAGTGTGGCGGAATAGGGCTGTTAGTAAGAGTTTGCAACACTACTCAATGCTTATACAAATGTCAAAAATTTACGAAGCTTTGATGTGTGATCAAAATAGTCTTCAATTCATCAAATTAAATTAAATAAGAAAGTAATTGATATATACAGATGTATTTATGTCAGAATCGTGGGAAGGAAAATTATGTAATTGTATGTATATATATTCCAATTACAGATTTGTTGAGAGTACGCCTGGTTTACAAGGAAATTGCGCGACGCCATATTTGTTCAGGCATTCAGCAAGAATTTGCAGTGCACTTCATTATTTTACCAAACGAGATGTATATGCTGGTAAAAAAGAACATTTAAATAGTAAAGAGCAAATTGTGTATGTTAACTTATGAAAATAATTTTCCAGCCTTCAAATATGCCAGTTATTCAACTATTTAAAACAAGTATGCACTTACTTTGGCTTCCCTCTTTAAAAAAAGTGAAAATAACTACTACATTTGCAGATTTGTTAAACGTTTAAAAACGCCGGCCGAAGCCGCTGAAGTACAATGCGACTCTAGTAGCAGGTAACAATGGTTTTATGAGCTTTAACATATTTGTGAAAGTTTGTTTTGCTTCTTAGGGCCGTTTGCACCATGTCTAGTTAATTCTAACTCCCAGTTAAACATCTTTATCGACGTTATCGACACCCATCATATAACATGTGATCGATAAAGCAGTGGATGTGCTTAACTGAAGGATGTACCTCCAGTTAGCGTTAACTAGACATGGTGCAAACGGCCCTTAGTGAACAGGAATCTGAACATCAAAAAAGTTGTCCGCCTGTTAAACGAAAGTTTAACTCGCATTGGCTAAAAATGTTTACTTAACTGCGGGACTAAAACGGCATATCTTTTTGTATTGCCTGCTGTTTAAGCCGCCGCTTAAACTTAATTCAGCGGCCGTGCGCGCATCCTTTGGCCGCAGCGAACACCGAAAGAAAGATTAACGAGCGCGCACGGCCGCTTCCCATCATCGTGCCAAATCAGCGACACGTTAGTTCAGCTACCAACCCCGGTCAACGCGCACGCGTCCTAGTATTTTGTATTTGAAATCAATACGAATTTTAAATCTAGTTAAAAAAATACTGGTTTTATATACGTATCATTAGATATTTATATGCTGTGAATTCAGAATTCCTCAAATAAAAGGCTAAACACTTTGTAGAATACATTTTGAACTCAAACAAAAGCATTTCTTTTAAGTGGAAAGAATGTGTGTAAAGAACGGAAGCAAAGTGTGTACTGTGAACAAGGTGAGTGCGAAAGGCGACCATTTGGAAATATTCACGGTCCTCCGCAGCCAACCGTGGCCCAGCAGCTAAAAAAGGAAAAAAAAATTCAAAAACTTAAAAATAAAAAAAAATTTATAAAAAATAAAATAAACGCGTATCGTACGTCCGCTAATGTAATATAAAAACTATACACATAGTTGAAAAATTTATAAACACAAGTGCTCGATAACAAAAGTGCACGCAACCATACAGTGCTACATACATACATATATGCAAGCAAGTGGTACGATAATCGTGCATACAAACAAATAAAAAAGGAAAAAAACTGAAAAACTAAGTGCAAAAACAACAAACAAAAGTGTTAAAAAAGTGCACGTATATATCTCTAACTCAGAGTGAAAAAAAAATAAATAATTAAAAATACCTTTGTGCACATGCATACATTTGTGGTAAATTAAGTTGCAACAAACACAGCAACAAAGCGCAATCAGCAGCCATCACCCAACCAAGCAATCACCAGCATCAGCATCAGCGGCAACAACAACACCAGGCGCAAGAATACAAGGGAATCGAGCTACATACATTAGCCAAGCAGCCATCATCAGCAGCAACATCAGCAGCCAACAATAGCATCAGCCGTAACAACAGGCAAAGCAAACATCTACATAATCCCATCTACATAAATTAAGGAAAGTAGTAAGTAGGCAAATTTTTAATTTCCTTAAAAATTGAAATAATATAACTTTCATTTTCGTAAAAGTTATATTATTTCTAATAAACTGCAAACGGACATACATACGTATATACTTACATACATATATATATATAATTAAATAAAAGGCGTATTTTTTCTCGCCAAAAACCATTGCGGATATTTTCCTGCCGCCCAAAAATTTCACGTCGGCAATTTGCCGCTATTAAAATTTTGGCAGAAAAATTCCCTTTTCCGGAAAGCGGTATATCTCCACATACCGCCGATCTTATATATATATAAGTATATGTACATACAGTGACGAGCAAAGCTGTAACATGGTGTAACACTTTTTATTTCAGCCACCGCTATCTTTCCAAGTTCTAACGACATTCATACTTTTGTTGTATATTCTTATCGGTACACCTGTACTTCCCCTCTTATAACGAATTTAAGTCAATCCAACAACAATAATAAAACCAGCAGACAAAAAAGTAAATTAAGGCATATGCTACAGTTTTGCACTTATATATTTTTAACAACTTTTTGACAATTTTCACGAAAAAAAAGAATTGTTAACACAATGTTCAGTATACTTTTGCATTTTTTAGTTCCTGGATGCAATTTGGCATACCTTATTTGTATCTCTGTGAAAATTCTGGAGGTATAGCCTCCCATGTATCCTTGGTTTGCTTTCATAGCTCATGTACTCCATTGGACGGACTTGCATACTCAGTAAGCCGCGCTTTTAGTTGATTTCGCAAATTTTCGACGAGATTCATATCCGGGGATTGTGGACGTCAAAATAGCAAATTTTTGCTTTTGCATTCAGTCTTTGCGAACATATGCAACAACCCCAAATTATTATTGACCGACTACTGTGATTCACAGTTTGCCTTACATGATGCGCTTAGGCTTAATTTGGGTCTTTGATCTAATACCATGCCCGGCCATCTGATTGAAAGCGATTAATTTAGTCTTGTCATACCAACTAACCTTCAATTAAATCTTAAAAATGTGTTTTTTTTATTGCATTCTGTAAGGCCTAACATATCCCAATAGGCAACGGTCCGGTTTTCGTGCGATCCGGCAAAATGCTACCACTCTCGCACATGAATTTTGATCAAAATTGTTTTTTCTTCCATTATTATGCCTTTGCGTTCAATTTGACAATTCTTCGCCTCGTTGGCTACTGATTTGCATTCAGTTTTAATACCTTAAGCGCTGCTGTAATAGTGGCTGCAGCGCTACTTGCTACTAAGCTCACAAGATATCGGACCGTAATATTTTTTGGCAGAATTCCTTTGTCCTTAATAACATTTTAGGCTATATTTCTCAGTCCTAACATTTTCATGTGGCGAGCTCCACAATTTTCGCCACTTTTCCCACGGCCCGCGTTTCCGCAGTTAATCTATTATTTACATCTATGTTTCCTGATTAATCATATTATCTACTGGTAATCACTTCTTCAATAAATTACAATACAGAAAAAAGTCATCTGACTTCCACCTAAGTAAAAGATAACTGTCAAATGCAAAACTTAGAGTGAGTGCAAAACTGTAACATTTGCCTTAATTTACACTTTTGGCTGCTGGTTTTATTATTGTTGTTGGATTCACTTCAAATCTTTATGAGAGAGGGGGTAAGGGCGTACCAATAAGAATATACAACAAAAGTATGAAAGTCGTTAGAACTTGGAAAGACAGTGGTGGCTGAAATAAAAAGTGTTACACCATGTTACAGTTTTGCTCGTCACTGTATATACAAATTCTGATATATACCCCAAAATAAATTCCGTTGCAGTTTATATGCCTACTGTGTCCCACTGTTCAAGAACAAAATATTAGCACATTAAAATCAAATAGGCTCCTCTGCTTACCAATTTTTGCCGTTGGTCGCATAGTTCGTTGAACTTGGCTAAACAAATTGCCGAACAACATAAGTACATATAAGCATTTTTACCAGTTGCATTTTCTGCAACTATTCGCTTAATAGCTAAGAGAGGCGCTGTTGTTCATCGGACAATACAGTCCACATATACCAAACGCACTCTAATTTTCGCGTTTTGAATACCCACTAAATTTGATGCGAAAAGCATCAAGTTGGCAACAGTGAATGTAAACAAAAGTATTTTATGACGTCAGCGATTGGATGGATGCTGTCAAATCGACGAAGAGAGGGTTAGCGGTCCGCGAATGGTGCGACCTTTATTTTCTGGATCGTGATATATACAGTGACGAACAAAACTGTAACATGGTGTAACACTTTTTATTTCAGCCACCGCTGTCTTTCCAAGTTCTAACGACTTTCATACTTTTGTTGTATATTCTTATTGGTACGCCCTTACCCCCTCTCTCATACATACATACGCACTATAATCAAAACAAAATTCTCTGTTGTTTTCGTTTCTTAACTCACCACTGCTGTGACAAAGCATAGCTTAGCCATATACTCGGCTTCATACGTAAATATTTGCACATACGTACATCTTTACATTGCACATATTCTGCACATTTGTACATACGTGCTAGCAAAGAATATTATCAGACGAATATTATCCATAACGCGATANACCCCAAAATAAATTCCGTTGCAGTTTATATGCCTACTGTGTCCCACTGTTCAAGAACAAAATATTAGCACATTAAAATCAAATAGGCTCCTCTGCTTACCAATTTTTGCCGTTGGTCGCATAGTTCGTTGAACTTGGCTAAACAAATTGCCGAACAACATAAGTACATATAAGCATTTTTACCAGTTGCATTTTCTGCAACTATTCGCTTAATAGCTAAGAGAGGCGCTGTTGTTCATCGGACAATACAGTCCACATATACCAAACGCACTCTAATTTTCGCGTTTTGAATACCCACTAAATTTGATGCGAAAAGCATCAAGTTGGCAACAGTGAATGTAAACAAAAGTATTTTATGACGTCAGCGATTGGATGGATGCTGTCAAATCGACGAAGAGAGGGTTAGCGGTCCGCGAATGGTGCGACCTTTATTTTCTGGATCGTGATATATACAGTGACGAACAAAACTGTAACATGGTGTAACACTTTTTATTTCAGCCACCGCTGTCTTTCCAAGTTCTAACGACTTTCATACTTTTGTTGTATATTCTTATTGGTACGCCCTTACCCCCTCTCTCATACATACATACGCACTATAATCAAAACAAAATTCTCTGTTGTTTTCGTTTCTTAACTCACCACTGCTGTGACAAAGCATAGCTTAGCCATATACTCGGCTTCATACGTAAATATTTGCACATACGTACATCTTTACATTGCACATATTCTGCACATTTGTACATACGTGCTAGCAAAGAATATTATCAGACGAATATTATCCATAACGCGATAATAAGTGAGTTCAAGATATTTAGATACATGCAACCCAGTAGGGAAAACTTCCAAATTGCATTTGTTTAGATAGTGATAAATAACCAATACTTTTTCAGTATTTAAATAACTATTTATATCAANGGTGGTACTCAGTAAAATTTGATAAATTTTTCTCTCAATTTTTATACGTGTGACCTTCCACAGCATTAAAAATGCCACTTGGACACAGTCCACCAAAAATGTCTGAAATCGAGACAAGGTCAAAAACTGCTTCGCAAGAAGCCACCGGTGGTAAGAGGGAACCCTCACCGCGCCCGAAATCTAAAACTTTTGACCCATCCGCTCAAAAGTTTATAGCGGAAAGTGACAGTATCATGAGATACTGTGCAAAATTCAGTGCTACACCAATCCAAGACCACACTGAATCATATCGTATGATAAAAGACAAATCACTAGACGATTGCTGGGCACGGCTTCAGTCCGCTTACGATTTGGTATTTTCAAAGCCAGATGACAGCCTACCCGAAAACCTTAAGAATTCGGTAGAAGGCAAGTTCTTCACTTGCCTTGAATTATATGAGGTGACCAAAGCTAAAATTGCCGATCAACTGTCGTTGATTA